GATTCATGATTCTTTTGATAAGATTTTATTCTTAAACATTATTGATTTTTATAATTGTGCATTTGAACAGAAAATTTTGCTTTAATAGTAATTTACAAACTATCATCAATCGTATATAATTTTCACCAAAATATATCAAATAAACCCACGCGTAGCGTGGGTCCAAAACCTAGTCTTATATATTAAAGGAGAAGTCGAAACTGCTCACGTTCGCTCTCAGAAATTGAAAGTACGTTTTTGCCCTCCTTTAATGAAATTGCCTAATTAATTAAATTCTGTAAAAAAAATCGGAAAATTAAAAATGTTAATATACCGAATTCGTTTAGTGGGCTTAATTTCGGACAAAAAAAAACGGCCCGATTTAAATAGTGCTAAACAAAGAGAACTAATTATTGAATCTCCTATGGTCATCCGGTATAGATATCTTTATTAAAAAAAAAAAAATGAAATTATCTGTATTTGGCCGATGATAAACATAGCGTTAACTGCTTTATCAATTAATTCAGACAAATCAACGGTAATGCCTTCCAGTGACATTATAGTCAAAATTAATTAATATTACAAATATTATTTTAAAAAATCTATTATACTAGCTGTATATTTTTTTCTAAGGATCTTATATATTAAAGGAGAAGTCGAAACTGCTCACATTCGCTCTTAGAAATTGAAATTACGTTTTTGCCCTCTAATGAAATTAATGTAATTGCCTAATTAATTAAATTCTGTAAAAAAAATCGGAAAATTAAAAATGTTAATATACCGAATTCGTTTAGTGGGCTTAATTTCGGACAAAAAAAACGGCCCGATTTAAATAGTGCTAAACAGAGAGAACTAATTATTGAATCTCCTATGGTCATCCGGTATAGATATCTTTATTAAAACAAAGAAAAATGAAATTATTTGTATTTGGCGGATGATAAACATAGCGTTTAACTTCTTTATCAACTAATTCAGACAAATCAACGTTAATGCCTTCCAGTGACAATATAGTCAAAATTATTACAAATATTATTTAAAAATATCTAGTATACTAGTTGTATATATTTTTTCTAAGGATTCCGTGTATTTAAACAAAAATTGAATTTCAATTAACAATATGATATAGAGCCAATTTAATTATAAAACTTTACATGAAAAAGATGAATTGCTTTCAGTTAGTAGATAAACTTTCCTTTTTGGTTGTAAATCTCTGTTGCTAGCTAAGACAAAATCAAATGGTGGCTTCAAGTGTGACTTATTTACAACGTCACTAAAGTTACAATAACACGTGGCAAGTAGAAAGTTTGTTGGGGCGAATATGAATCATTTTCTTTTTTCCTTTAAGCTTTGTTAAAGTTTTTCTTCGAACCCATAAAAGAAAAAAAAAAAGCTTTGTTAAAGACTTAAAGTTCAAAGATAAAGAAAGCACTTTTTGTGAGCTTTTGCCAAATTATTTAAATGAAATTTAGATCTCAAGACACTATCCAAAATAAAAATACATAAATGCCATGCACATTGCACCAGAAGGCGTGCAAATGTCACATACATGACCACGATTTTCACCACTCACGTGTATTAAGTCATGAATGTGCATAAACTACTGTACCAAAGTGATAAAACGAAATGCTCCATCAATTTCAAGTTTCAATACAGTAATAGTAACTTTTACAAGTCTCTCTTCACTCGTTTGTTTTTTCAATACGCAGAAGTTTATAAACTAATAAAAATAAAGATTTAATCAATTTTATAACTGGGGATTTAGAAAAATAGATTTACTTGGGATGTTCGCATTCATCTGAAAAAGAGAAGACAAAAGTCTTTTAAGTTAGAAATTTAGTTGACCCAAAGCTGCTTACTTAGTACCAAGCAAATATATATTATCTTGTCATGTCCCCAAGAAACATGATCCAAAATTTATGCAAAGGTCACCTATTCAAAATTCAAGTTTTTTTTTCCAAAATTCGAGAAATATTAACAAATAATGCAAGAAATGATTAATCAATATAATGGTGACTGCCAGTAATTACGATCATTAGACAGTAAACAAAAAAATAGTTTTTAAAATGCAATCGGTTTCTTAACACGTGAACAAGAAATCACGATTAAATTATGGTCAATTTATTTATGCAATCTTGCTTATGTCCTACCGCAGAATAGTTATTGTTCGAAAATATAGGAAATACATAGCATTTGTCAATTTCAACAATAAAAAAGGGTTTATTTGTTGGAATTTATTATGTTAAACTTAAATCTCATAAAAAAGGAAACAATATATATTATTATGAATAATAACATTTCGAAGAATTTACTTAACTAAAACACTAAAAGCACAACAAAAATACTCTAGCTCTCTAAAGAATAATAATGATCCCTTTGTTTAAACGTCAACGGCACATCGTTGGACAAGCTGGTACTTCACGGCTGGACCGTCACCGGAAAAATGTCCGGCTAAGGTAATGTAAGCTGGACAATTGACGTGGAGGCGGTACCTACCGGAGATCCACGTTCCTACTTTCCATCTAACCCAACCGTCGATCTTAATATTCAGAAGCACCATCCCCGCCGTTAGATCTTGGCTTAACGCCGGAGAAAAATATGGTGCCACCGGTACGGTTGTTCCATACAGAAACGGCGACCATACCGTCACATCAAGGTGGCCTTGGTAAGTCGCCGGCAATAAAGTTGCCAACGTCACCTTATAACAAGAAAACAATTAATTAAAAAATATATATATATAGAGAGGCAGATTTTAGTCCAAATTAATTAATTCACATCCCAAAGATTATGAAATATAACTAATTCAAACCTTACATGCAAAATCATATTGTTTAATACTACGTTGAGAACGGTCTATTACCAAGATTCGTCGGTCCATTGGTATATATATTTTGTATATCATGAATCTTTAGCATAAAAAATCTATATGTTGATATAAAATTTCTTTTATATATATGAGGTCTCAAATTATGAAAAATAGAGTTTTTGTTTGAGAATCGGTCGCATAATACTAATATTCGTCGGTCCATTCTTTATAAACACTTTTTTCTTGCATTAAAGAAAACATCAAAATAAATTTTGAAACGTGATGAAACGTTTATTTAAACCGCTAATAAATCTACAATACCTGTTGGTTACGGTAAGAAGCATAAATGTCAAGGCGGTCATAGAAGATTCCGATCTTGTCATTAGGATTTCGAGAAGAAAGAGTGACCTGAAGATTAGAAGTGAGGTAATTGGGCTGAGAAACGTTGAATGCGTAAATGGTTGCGTCTTGAAGAACAAAACGTGGTCCATGCGGGTGAAGTATCGCCCACACCAAGAAAACCACAAAAAGAACAACCGCAAGAAACCCAAGAACTACCGCTCCTATGCGTTTCCGCATCTTCTCATCTTCGTCGTGGTGATGCTCACATTCCTTCTCCGTCATTTTCGCGGTTGCTTTTAGCGTTCAAAGGATTAGTGTGTTTAGTTGAAAGGCAGAGAAGTTGAAGTTTTCTTTTGTATATAAAAAAGACAGAGAGTTACTCTCTTCTTTTTGTTGTCGCATCAAGAGACAGAGAGTTACTATGGAGTTGATGAATGGTGGTATATATACATATATATATATATTGATTAAGTCATAGACCAACCGGAGCCTTTGCGATGATAAATTAATGTATTTAAAAAAAAAAAAAACAATTATTATTGCAAATGCGAAAGCGTAAGTTTCTTTTTTGAACTTTAGTTAGTTCACTTTTTAACTTTATATCTTTAACGCAAAATTAAGGAACATGTTTTTATTCCTATCAAAAATTTTGCAATGTTAACAAGGTCGCTAAAAACCATTCTAAAGAGTTTATTACAAACATAATTTGTAGATTAAAAAGCTTCCACCAGTGTAAAGGACTTTGGAGGTTGGTGAAGAATCTTCTTTCCTTAGCATCGTTGCGCCATTATATATAAAAGTGTATATATATTGCAACTGAATTTAAATTCAATTTTTTCTTACAGTAAAAACTCGTCGATAATACCAAAAGTCCAAAACACATTAAAATGAAAATTCTAATATCGTACAAAATGCGACATCTCCATTAATAAAGCTAAACTACGAAAGTTGACAAAAAAAAAAAACTAACACAATCCACAAATAACGCAATCAAGCAACGCATAAACTTTAGCAAATGAATTGATTTTACCAAACTAAAGAGTGTGCAATGTAACTTTCACATTTGACCGCTAATAAACTTTGGTAGTCTCAAATAAAGTGGTAGCTTGGCTATTAATTAATTACCTTTTGGAGGGATATAATGAAGACTTAGTAAAGAGGTAATGTGGTGGGTGAGACGAAATATATATCAAATGTATATTTATGTATTTGTTGATCACGTCAATTTAGTTAGGAATGTTCTATGCTGTCAAAACAAAAACTAAAAGTTAGGAAAGTTCTACTTGGGTTAACTACATACTTATTGGAAAAGAAATATATTTTTAAGTACTAATTCATGGTGGTTAAATGGTTTTAGAGATTCATTCTAAAATTTACTGGATTAGAGTTTTTGAATTCTTCCACTACTACAGTACTACTACAGAATAGGGAGGAACTAATTCGCGGGTGAGAAAAAAACTACTTTGTGCATAGTGTTTTTTTTGCGCAACCAAAATATAAAAAATCTCACTAAGTCATCGTTAATTATATAGTAAATACTAAATAACTATGGAAAAATTCATCCATGACAAAATTTAGCGACGAATTTATGTTTTTTTTTCATTAGCAGCGATCAATTAGTAAAAAACAAAATTGGTCTTTTGCTAATTGTTTTTTTTTTCTATTTGTAGTGATATATTTATCAAACAAGATTTATAGATTGGTATTTCGAATCAAAAATCCAAACGATTATCTTTTTAGGAAAAGAAAAAGATTTAACTTCAATATTTCACAATGAAAAGGAAAATTTTAATTGAGTCAAACCAATCTAATTAGGTACAGTTTTTTATGGATCACCCTGCAAAAGATATGCCACTAACTAGAGACTTCTATATATAGTTTTAGTTTTTACATGTAAGGTTTTCTATCATTAAGCCACAAAAGGTTTAAAGAGAACAATAAAAAAATGTCGTCATCCAAATTTGCTATCTTTTGTATCATCCTCTTTTCCCTTTCTAGTCTTTATGAATGTATGTATTATCCACACACACTTAAGGTTTTGTTCATCATTTATCATAGAGTAACATTATAATCACATGACCATATTCTTTATAGTCTTTTAAAATGGTTTATTCTTTATATATATACAGGTACAAACGTGGAAGGTTTTGAGGCAAGTAAGATAAACTTACCAAAGTGCCTGCCAGGCCGTTGTGAGGGCAGAAAAAAATGTTTTTGTTGCCGATATGTTAGACCTAGATTCTGCGCACCTGTCTGTCCCTAAGCTTAATCCATTGCCTTTTTCAAAGATTTAAGAAATTTGAGAAGCACTCGTAGACATATTGTATGTGTGCTCTTCTTTTTCGATTTATCTAGTACGAATAATATTAATACGATGACAAAAAAAAAAAAAAAGAATAATATTAATACCAAAATATTATTGTCCATCCGTTTTCTTTTTATCTGTTTTAAAAAGGAAACATGAAGACGAAAAAGTAAACCAATAATCCCAAAGTCTCTATATACAATAATGTAGACACATCTGTACTTTCAAAATTTCGAAATAAAGGTTTTTTTTTTTGCTTTTGAGTGATTTCTTGTGATTTTTTTAATGAAAGAATTGTTATTTTATGACAATATAAACGTTTTAGAGAAAAAAAATGTAACACTAGAGTTTGGTTGAAAATGCTTGTATGATAATTTACCTTCATGAACAATTCCTTGAGCTGCCACTGCTATTATTATTATTGATGTCTTCGATCATCATTCCTTTCAAACTCTTTGCCAACCAAATAGCGGTTTCTCTAGGCGAAACTTTGTTCTTCCCAAACGGCTGCAACACGATGGCTAGCTCTTCGAGCCTGCTCTGTTCCAGCAAATCCGCAGATAGTTCCAATAGACCTTCAAGCGCCTCTGCTCTCTGTCTGAACGACTTGATGTCCAACGTCTCTTTCACAGGTGGAGTCGGAGTTGTTTCCTCTTCAGGCACGAATGAGTTAGATCTGGTCTCAGCTGGTGAAGAATCAGAGCAGGAGTTAAAGCTCTTTATTTCTGAGTAATTGGTGATGGGGTCTTGTTCTTCAGGACGGGTCTCGGTTCTTGAGTCAGGCTCTGAGATGATCGATCTCGTGGTGGGTGATTCAGAGGGAGTGGCTACTTTTCTCACTTCCATTTCATCTCTCACAACGTTTATGAGTTTCCCCATGTCGACGTTCTGGACACCGACTTCAACACTTTCCATGACCGGCTGGTCGCTCCCTACTCGGAAACTGCTGTGACGGATAACATGTATGACATCATCAACCACAGGATGAAGATGGGAAGGGTTGTTGTTCTTCTCAAGAGCTGAGTTCTGAGACACTACGCTTGTTTTGTTATCCGAGTGGGAATTCACTTGGTGGGATGGTTCAACATGCAAAGGCAATGGTGCGGGTCCGGGAACAGAGGAGACGAATTCTTTGACTGTGAATTTGTCATCACCATGTTGTCGTTGTGATGCGTTAGGCTCGTAGCTCTGTAATGTGGTAGGGCTATCATCTTTGGCCACAATGGGAGAGCTTCCTTGCTCTCCTTCCGGCTGATGATGGGCAATGGTGTTTTGAACACCGGAAACAGAGTCGGGAATTTCAGTCAGCCGCATACTGGTGCTGTGTTCTTCTCTGCGGATCATCATCTCTGAGGAGATATCTGGAAATGTATACGAGTATTCACTGTGACAGGATCTTCTGTGGTCATCAGGAGTTGTATGTGCTGACATGTCGATATATGGGGTGGAAGCATCATCACAGAGCTCAAATGCCTGCATGGACAACGACGACGAGATAGAGTTACTGCTTTCACTCTGCATTCCTTTGGAAGATCCAACAGAGGTTCTCTTTGGCTCCAGCATCGTAGTCACAGGAGAAGCATGGACATGAGATTGATGAGAATTAGTTTCAGACTCTGATGGCATAGATGGATGCAGCTTCGCGGTTTCCTTGGCTGCCATATTTGGAATATCTGCTCCTAATTGTCTCGACTGGTGCGCTATCAAAGACGTTCTTCGTGGCAAAGTAGGAGGTGTTCTTTGCCTACGCTTAACTGACATTGCCTCTTCAGCCTCATGTTTAGCAGCAGGAGAAGGTGAAATTCTGTCGTTTCTAGGCTTAAGTTTTGGAGAAGAGTCAATCACTGGCATCTGCAAACATGAATTTGTCATATGAAATCCTTAGAATATCTACAAAAGTTAGGAATTGGAGAGAGAGAGGGACAGAGAGAGTACGTGATGCTTCGGTGGAAATGATCCTGGAGTTCTTGCGGAATCAGAGGCCAGCTTTGATGTTGGAATAGGCGTACTTGCGTTAGTCTTGGAGCTATGAGCAATGTCACCGAGTTTGGGAATCTTCGATGGAGTTTCAATATTATTCTTCTGTGTCGGAACACTAGAAGGTCTAGTTCGATTAGATCTCATGGGTGAACCATTTTCTCGAGCTTTCTCTTCTTTCAAAACCATCATGATGTTTCTGATAGTTTTTGGGTGCCTTGGTTGAATAACGTCTGGTCGCTGGTCACTGTGTACGGGTTTTAAAATCCCATGGCTATCTGGTTTTGTTGCTGAAACACTCTGGAGATTACCATTTTCAGCTGATTGTTGCACATGGTCGAGGATGTCTTCATCATCGATAAAACCTGAATCGGTCTCAGCGACTTTATTACCATTACTTGGAACCACATATCGGATATTTTTGTCACTCACGTAGAAGTTATCTTTTTCACTTGAACTATTGCTGTTCTGACTTTCAGCCATACTCCTCCGACCCTCGCGAGAATTGAGAGGCTTTTCTGGAGTTATAGATGCTGCAGACAGGGCTGGACGGTACTGCTCTACATATGGCTGCAAATAAGGATGCTTCAAAATCTCGGAGGCCTGAACAGAAAATGAAGAAAAATTTATGATTAGTTAATTTCACTCTGGAGGGTGAATGCCCTTAAGCAGACAGTTTCTGGTCCTACAAAAACCATACGTTTGGCCGATACTCGGGGTTCTTCCTTAACATTCCCTTGATGAGTGCTTTTCTGAATATAATAACAAAAAAACAAAAAAAAACAGGCGAGACAAGTTATTTAACCAGGCCTTCAACACATTATACTTGATGAAATAATCGTATCAATTACAGATGCATTTATCATCCTTTTCGCTGATTCCAAAATGTTCTGTTTTATCCAACATGACTTTGATTGAGAGTAATTTTTCCTAAAGAATCTTTTTGTATTGCTGGCATTTTATAAGTACAAATCGGCATACAGATTAAAAAAAAAAAAAAAACAAGCTCATAGCCTAGGATTGGTATTTTGGATAAGGCGAAATGTCAAATCAAGAATTATAGAAGAGCAGATTAGGCTTCGGATTAGAAAAGAGAATCTTACAAAGATGGTGAATAGCACGGAGGCAACGGACCAATTGAGGAGCGATTAACCTTGCTTATAAGCCCTGCCATATCCTGAAACCATATATAACATAAAAGCAAATGCCATAAGGTACTTTGAAAAGATCAAATGCAAGGGAACCAAGATTGCTCCATCCATAAAAACTTCAGTGATACACACAAGTCTATATATAGCTCTTAACATTTTCTCCTCTTCTAGAAACATAGCCTTCTCTTAAATAAGGTTACAAACGGGAAACATGTAGACTATCTAAGTGAAATAAATAACTTACAAAAGCTTTGAAAGCAGGCCGATACGCAGCCATCTCATATATACAACAGCCTGTTCAACAGCATACAGGCTTAGTTTCAGTGGCAATAACAAAAATCTTAAGCGTTACAAAGGACAGAGTTACAGATACCTAGGGACCAGATATCTGACTTAAAACCATAAGGGATATCAGCAAGCAGTTCCGGGCACATGTAGTTTGGAGTTCCAACAACCTACATATAAAATTTCATGAGTCATAAACACCAATGTCTATCACACTAAGTATCAGGTCAGAAACTTGAGAGCAATCCTAAGAATAATCATTATGAAAGGTTATGTTCCATCTCGTAACTAAATGGCAAAGAGTAATATATTATCTCTTTCCAATGTAGAATTCCTAATATTCATTTGTTGAAAATGAGGCAATAGATATCTTCATGCATCAAATTTTGTTTGCATAACCCATGTCAAATGTGGTCAATTGCTTATGTGCTTATAAAGCCGCAACCAACCACTACCAGGACTAATTCGTTCTTCTACAACATCTTTTACATGCACAAATTGCAGAGACATTTACAACATACCGAGGAAGTTAGGTCATCCGCCTTCAATGTTTTGGCAAGCCCAAAGTCCCCTGTATACAACACAAGGTGAAACATACTATTTAAAAATCCGCTTACATTGTCAAATTGGGTGGATCATAAATAAAAAAAACTTACCAAGGCGGACGTCTTGATCTTTTGTAAGAAAAATATTGGAACACTGGAAGAACACAATCCACAAATACGTCCATATTAAAATTAAGCATAACACAGCGATTTTAGACAACTAGCATTGCCATAGTTTTTACCTTTAGATCACGATGTAGAACATAGTTAGAATGCAGATACTCAACAGCTAATAATAATTGAGTAAACCACTTGCAAAGTTTCTGCACAAAAGAAGAAAAAACATCAACCACTAAATCCTGTTTATTAAGAGAAACTTTCAGGTGAAAAATAACTCAGTACCTCCTCAGGAAAATAAACACCATTTGACTTTTTCATCAACTCAGCCCTGTAACCAAACACCATCACAGCACCAAAAGATTTATAACACATTCTTTGACTTCTGTGAACTAAACAACAAAAAAGGACAACTTAACTACAAAATCTTCAGAGAAAAATTAAACTCACATGTCTCCTCCTTCACAGTATCCAGTGACAATACAAACATAGCAACCCTGCATTTTCAAATCTAGCTACTATCAAAATCCTTATAACAAAAATCTACTTTAAATCCATAAAAATCAAAAGTCATGTAAAACTTACTTTCTCAACCCAAGCTTCTTTAAACTCCACAATATAAGGATGTTGAACTCTCGCAATCAAAGACATCTAGAGAATTTCACCAATGTTAGTCAAAATCGTTTCGAAATCTCGAAAAACAAGTAATTCAAATCACCTCTTGATGAGCAGATCTCCGGCAACGTTCCGTTTGCCTAGCTAATCTGATCTTCTTCAAAACATACCTAAAAAGACAAAAATCAAACCTAAAGATCTTCAAAGAAAGAGTTTAAAATCAGATACAATGAAGAAACCAATTTACTTCTTTCTCTCAGCCTTATGATGAACTAAAATAGCAGCACCAAACGCTCCTCTCCCGATCTGTTCCATAAGCTCATACTGATCCATTCGAGACTCCATCGCTTTACCAAACTTGAACTTCCTCCTCCAAGTTGCGATTTAAGAGAAACTTGCTTCTCTTCAACGTAATCTTAATTTCCCTAACCTACACGCTTCGTTTTCCTTCGATTCCTAGAGATTCGAAACCGCTCGATGGTTTAGCATTGAACTCGAAACGCCGCGAAATCAAAATCAGATCCAGACATTTTTGGATTTGAGACTGATAACGAAAAACAGAAAACCTTCCATGCGAAGAAGATTGTGTACAAAGAAGATATTCAAAGGTCTCTCAATTTCTGGATTCGTCGTCTCGTCTTCTTCTTCTTCTTCTTCTTCTTCTGTGTTTAGTTCACTTGTTGCAGAGTACGACGAATCTAGACGGGAAAAAAAAAATGTGATTCAGAGTAAATATTTCGGTTTTCTTTTTTTTTTTTTGGTTTGACAGAGATTAGGAGAGTAGTTTTAAGTCAATTTAAGTTATTTTTGTCAATAGGTGGGTAGTTAAAGAAATTAATCAACGTGTTTTCTTACTAATTAGATTTATTTATTACAACAATAATAGATTACTAGATCAAGTTTTTATAGATTTTCCATATAAATTTGGTAAGATAATCTTTCGTATAAACAAAAAATTATTTCTAAAATGCAATTTGTTTTTTTTTTTTGTCTTAAAATTAACTAAACTTATTTATTACACCAATAATAGCTAACCAGATAGAGTTTAAAGAGTTTCCATATAAATTTGATTATAATTCATTTTCATGTAAACATAAAAATGACCCTTTTTCCAAAATTAAACATAGAACTAATGAGATCTTTTAAAATGAATCTGTTGTAACCAAATTTCTGAAATTTTTAATAAAAAACCAATAAATGAGATTCTCAAAAACAAATGTTTGTGATATTTTTTTTTAAATCATTCAAGACGTAATTGGGGATATTTTATAAAATGTAGTTATTTAACTAATAACAGTTTTTCAGTTGTGAAAATTTTAATACACTTAAATTGAGTGTATTAAAATTTAAATTAAATATAATATTACGACAGATTTTGTTAAAAACCAGAAAATGCAAGAAAATGTTGAGGATTATTTGTTTTATTTGCATATTGTTTTCTTTATTTATCAATGGTCATAAGACAGATATAGTGAAATAAATACAATAATGGGACTGAGTGCCGACAAATCCAGCTGTTTTAATGGAAACGATACCTGCTTATCTCCTTGTCCCTCTATACCACTGTTACTAATAATAACAATAATGATTTGATATTATTTTATTCTAATAATGACGTGGCCGATCCCTCAACGTGAATAAATCCTTTAAAAGTCTAAATTAATTTAATTATAATAAATAAAAGCTTCAAATCAGTTTTTTCTTTTTCTTTTTAGATTCTTCTCAAAATGTGATAGAACATTGTAGATATGTCAATGGTGATTGAAACCTAAAATTAAAGGATGTGTTTGGGTTTTAAAGTCAAAAATCAAAATCATATAAATAGGATATGTTTTTAGATTCTGCTCGAAATGTGATTGATAGATATGTCAATGGTGATTGAAACCTAAAATTAAAGGATGTGTTTGGGTTTTAAAGTCAAAAATCAAAATCATATAAATAGGATATGTTTTTAGATTCTGCTCGAAATGTGATTGATAGATATGTCAATGGTGATTGAAACCTAAATTTTAGGATATGTTTTTTGGGTCAAGATATATGGGTTTTAAGGTCAAGTCCATATAGGCTTTATAGCTTATGCTGTCTTATGCATATTGATTCATGTGTGTTGTAGACTTGTAGGTTTTTAGCCTTATAGGTCAACTCATACATTTATCATTTTTAAAATCTCAAATATTATTAATTTAGTATTGAAAGTTCTGTTATTTTAATGTAAAATTAATTAATCAACAAAAAATACCATAAATTACTAAAAAAAGAATAATTTAAAATATACCATTAAAAGTTTTGGATACAGAAAATAAAAAAGAAAAAACCTAAACGTTAGAGTAAAAGGATACTAAATCATTCATGGCCACTTCCTAAACTTAGAGACACTTCTTAAACATACATCTTGTGGTTTTAAAATTTTCAAGCTTTTGGTGTTAATTAATGTTGGGAAACAAAAGAGAGCTAGCAAGTCATTGCCATGCCACAGCTACGAACTATAAATCAAGAACAGAGAATCTTATGGCCATGCTCTATGAGCACTTCCGATGGTTGGATCCAAAAATTGGGATCCAAACAAGATTTATAATTTAAATAATGGAAAATAAAAAATTTAGCCACTTTGAGTGTTATTTATCTTGAGACAGTCCAATGGTCAAGTCCAAAAAGTGAAGATCTAAAAAATTTAAATTTTCAAAAAATGTTAAAAGTTGTTTGTGTTACAAGTTACAAGTGAAATGTTTAACCAACATTTGGTCTTTTACTCTTCATCCACTAAAACATATCTGAAAAGGAAACAAAAACACATGCATAACATTAATACCAGAAATGCAAATAATAGCAGCATGACATAAATAGATAGCTCTCTTCCACCTCCTCATCATCAAACCTAAGCAACTAAATCGAAAATGTATACTTAAGATCAAGTCTCAGATCAAAATAGACTAGTAATCGAGTGAACAATTTCAAGCACATAACCACATCTGCTATCTTTATTAGCAAATATTCCAAGAGATATGAAATCATTATACCACTTACTTTAGAGTGAATTAATTCCTGAAAAATTTGAGTTTACCGTTGAATCCACGAACGGCGGCAACAACAATCTCCTTCCATTAACCCCAATTTAACTTAGAACACAGAATCCTAAAACCGCCGATTTGCTTCTTCAAACTCGCCAGTTGTGACCAGCGTCGGTGGAGATGAAGGTCACACCGGATCGAGGAGTCCGAGCTCTATCCTCGTCCTCCGTTTGCTTCCGATTTCGTCGGACAAATCGCCAGATCGGGGAAAAAAAAAATGAGAGAATTTTTTTTTGAGAGAAATCACGAAAAATAAAAGACTGTGTAATAAATTCCCTCTTAGACAAATACATCCACAAGTAATATTGCGACACGTACGGATCCATACACAAGTCTAAAAAATCCAATTTTGGATTCAAGTCCATTGTTTTTGGGATTTTTGATTTATTTTTTAGATCCAAATAACTTGGACCTCATACTTGGACATGCCGATAATGTTGCTCTTAGGTGTTGTATTTACAACTTGATAAATTAGTAGTTGTATATTTTGTTTATTAATCCAGTTTAGACTTTGATTACAGTTTATCTAAATAGACTCTGAAATAGATCCTTGTGATCAAATCCAACTTGAGAAAATCTATCTCCCAAAATCTGAAATTATGGATAAATTAATCTGGCATAATAACTCCAATGGTGAATACACGGTCCGCTCCGGTTACTAGTTGCTCACCCATGATCCATCCGACATGCAATATAAACCTCCAATTCCTCCCGGTTCGACTGACTTGAAGAACAAGATTTGGAAACTTCAGATAATTCCAAAAATAAAACATATGCTCTAGAGAACAGTTTCACGGGCTCTACCTACATGCTCACGATTGATAACAAGAGGAATGCAGATTGATTCAAACTGCCATCGATGTCGTAACGAGTAAGAAACAATAAACTACGTACTATTCAGTTGCCCTAATGCAAAGATGGTCTGGCACTTATCATCTGCACCCATCTTACAGGCTCATCAATTTTCTAATGATGTGGAAGATAACATCAATTACATCATTGATTTATATCAGAATCCAACCCTAACAATTAATCAAAAGCTTATCCCGATTTGGCTTCTTTGGCGAATTTGGAAAGCAAGAAATAAATTGGTTTTCAAAACATTTTCTGAAAGCCCCTCAAGATCGTTCTAAAAGTTCAAGCAGAGGACCAAGAGTGTGTCAATAACTTAGGTGGTACACAACCTATGAGCAGCAATTCAAACAACCAGATTTCTATGGTGCCTACTTGGACAAGACCTCATCCTTGATCCTTCGATGGTAAAATGCAACTTTGATGCAGGCTTTAATGTAAGCTCTTCACAAGGTACTAGTGGTTGGATTATTAGAGACTACCAAGGCAATCAAATAACTTGGGGAGCATCAAAACTCCCGAATGCGTCAACTCCCTTAGAGGTTGAAACGAAAGCGTTATTGATGGCAATGCAACAAACATGGATCAGAGGTTTTAAGCAGGTACATTTTGAAGGTGATTGCGAGACTCTTATCAACACGATCAATGGGTTATCGAAACATAGTGAATTAGCAAATCTTCTCCTGGACATTGATTATTGGTCTTCAAAATTTTCCTCTGTCATATTTACTTTCACCAGACGAGCGGGGAATTCTGTAGCCTATAACTTAGCAAGTTTCATTTTTTCCCAAGGGAATTTCTATTCTAACTCTGTCTACAAGCCGATGTGGCTTAAACGTTTGTTTTGTTAAGAATCCATTGTTTGAATAAAGTAAAGTTTGCCGGAAAAAAAATATCTAAAATTGAATCAACTAGATTTTGTACTGTGTGTTGCGCGGGATTTTGATTTAAAATCTCTTTTATTAATATACAATTTTCAGCATAAAATATCATTAAAATTTAAAGATAAATATTTGAGAATAAATATAATAAGTAATATACAACATATATATTATCGACGATAATGTTTCTTTGACAAAGAAATAGTTTGATATATAACGTGGTAACAAAGATCACTTAAAAAATTCCCGAGAAGAATAAACGGCATCGAGGACCATCTAATGATCATTTATCTTATCTCTAAAAGAGTTTCTTTCTTATTCATATTTCATGAAGACATTTCTTTAAAAGTTTTGACTTTAATTATCGATTGTTCGAAAATAACATCATTCCATATAAAATACGAATACACCGAGTTCCATGAACATTATTTAGTGTAAAGTACATCTATAATACCATCAAAACAAGTTTTACCGAACTTTTTTACCCATCAAAGCAAGTGCAGCGAGCTATAAGATAATTCTCGATTAAGTCATCAATGTGTCTATCTTATCTCACTTTCAATGATTACATGGCCAAACTGTATTTTTCTGAAAACCTATTATTTTCACACAATGATGAGATCTCAAATATTTTACCTTAGTCATGTGCATTATGTTTCTAAGTTTTAGAAATTTATTTTTACACACTTTTAACTACCAATTATTTTTTCATCTTCTATGATAAACTCGTTGACATATACTTTCTTTCCACCTTCTATTAACTCACATATAATATATATTGGACTGTGAATTGATTTTCAAGACATATCATAACTATTTTCTCCTTAATTCCTATCTTTCAATATGCAATTTTTGGGTTAAAAGTATTTGATTCAATTGATGAAATATCAAACTTGTTTTTCTTTTTGATCATGTTATAAAGTTGTAGTTTCACTTGAGAGTATGCTACACGGAGCCGTTCCTAGAGATATCGGGGCCGCATGCGATGTTTAAGAAAATATTCAATTCATATAAACTCATTTTTTAGAAAACCTTCATCATCCTAAAGTTTAAACAAAAAAAAAAACTAAAAATTAGAGTAAAAACAAAATTATTAATTAGTTCTAAAACATATATAGTATTTTCATTTTTTTTCTACAGAATCATTAACCATTGTTAAAAAATTGTTTTAAAAAAGCATAATAGATTTTGCAGCTGTGTATGTTATTGTTATCCTAAATTTATATCCCAATGTTTGTTGACATTTAACTTTTAATTTATCTCAAAAATAATCATTAACTGTATTTTAACCATCATATTTCTCTACTCATGAATGGTCCTAGAAGTAGTAGTGCTTATGCCCCTTTGAACTATTTTACTAAAAAATGGCCGTAGGTGAATGCTTCATTTTCTATGTCGTAGGCACGGGCCTGATGCTACACAAATTACATATCACCTTTTTTTTACGGCTTACATATCATTTTTTTATATTTTGCAGTAGAACTCATGAATAATGTGATCATTGATTATTTATTTTTTAAAAAGTTGATGATAATGTTTTAAAAAATTTGAGATTTTTTTTTATAATTTTGTAAGATAAAGTATGACACAATATCTTCCTCTTAAATTATAAATTTAAGTTGAATTTCATAATTTTTTACTTTTTGTAAATAAAAATTTAATAATAAATAAAAATACCTGGTATATTATTCTTAAAAACTAAGGTTTTACTTTAAATTTTATTTTCTTGTTTAAAATTTTACATATAGAATTATAGAAATTCAGTTTTATTCTATCATACATTTAAGTTTACTTCCATTCTAATATTCATTAGCACATTTAAAAATTTGAAGTTGAATTATTTTTAATTTTTATCTATTAATAGTTGAATCATATTATTACTACTAATAAAATTTTATAGTATTCTTTTTATTATTTTAATATCTCATATATTTTACATAATTCGTTTATTTATTTATTTTTTTTTTTTGAATTATTTTTAATTTTTATCTGTTAATAGTTGAATCATATTATTACTACTAGTAAAATTTTATAGTATTCTTTTTATTATTTTAACATCTCATATATTTTACATAATTCGTTTATTTATTTATTTTATTTTTTTGTTAATTATAAGTAACAAAAATATGCACTAAATGAATGTCTTAATTTATTTCAAAGTAAAATAAATAGGATTGCTTATGTGGATGATGATGTGGATAGACTAAATGGAGAGAAGACTCTCCCATTATATATATATATATATATATATTTTCTTTTATTTCAAATCTCGATTTGGTTTATTGGGTTACTAGGTACGTGTACGGTTTAAATGAGAAATGTATGAATTAGTCGAATGTTTTGTTAAATGTGTGTTGGTTTTGTTAGATTTCTTTTATAGGATTATCCCCAAAAAAAAAAACTCAAATCGAATCAATTTTTTCCTTTCTTTCTCGTTTCGATTTGGTTTATTCGGTACGAATACGGGTAAACCGGGAACTTTATCCAATAATGGGTAGCAAACAATTACTATTGGGCCAAAGATGTTCCCTCTTAAATTTAGTCCACTATTGGGCCAATTTCCCAAGTTTAAAGGCCCAACATTTTTTGAAACGAGAAAAAAAAAATTGGCTTACCGGAGTAATGACGTAAGATCAGGGACCACGGCAGGATCCTTCTGCCGTCGGCGACGTCGCTCCTGACGTCACCTCAACACGTTAACCACACAATTAAGTTTTAATTCCTCTCTCTCCGTAAACTTAAACCGGTTTTTGTATATATATGAGATTAACAATGGTAAGAAACTGAAATTGGAGAAGATTTGAGAAGCTTTGGATTTGAATCGCGAAGACATGGAAAAAACCGAATCTAAATCAGGAAAGGGGCGGAGAGTGGTGGTTATCGGCGGCGGAATCGCCGGCTCTTTAGCCTCCAAATTTCTTCAATTCGATTCCGATCTCACCCTCATTGATCCGTAAGCTTTTGGTTCATTAATTCTTAATCACCATTTTTGTGCGTTGACTTCAAAAATGTTGAAGAAATTGTGTTTTATTTGTCTTAAATCTTGATTAATTTCGATTAGGACATGACTTAATATGATCAGTAGATGTGTCTTAATCTTGATTAATCTCAATTAGGAAGGAGTATTTTGAGATCATTTGGGCAAGTTTAAGGTCAATGGTGGAACCATCTTTTGCTGAAAGATCGGTGATAAACCACAAGAAGTATTTACAAAATGGTCGTGTTGTGACTTCTCCAGCGGTTAACATCACAGACACCGATGTTGTGACCGCGGATGGGCTTGTCTTTGGGTATGATTATCTTGTCATTGCTACGGGTCACAATGATGTGCTTCCTAAAACTAGGCAAGAGAAGTTATCTCAATACCAAGCTGGTAAATGAATATGATCTTACTTCGATTACACGCGTTTTCTTGTTACTATTTCTTGAATTGTTTGGTATATGTTTTCTTACATCTGAAGTATTTGGTTGCAGAATATGAGAAGATCAAGTCATCTGAATCG